GGTAACTTCCCCCGACGGCCTGAACAGTTTTGTTGTTCGCACACTTCCCACACGCTCATACAGCTAATGTAGCTACGTCATCTTGCTCTCAGCCTTGGCGGTGCTATCGACTTCTCCTGCAGCTTTAGGTAATCCATAATCGCCTGCTTCGCGTTGTTATCCAGGTGGCGGCTGAAGCCGAGAATTGCTCTGGGAGTCAATCCACGTCCTTCTGGCACGTTTGCATCAGCCTTGGCCTGCTCGCACAGGTATCGCACGACCTCGAGCTTGCCTCCCAGTGCTGCAGCGTGGAGTGGAGTTCCCCCATTTTTGGCATTAGGCGTATCTGCAGCGACCTTGGCCTGCGCGCACAAGTATCGCACGACCTCGAGGTGGCCCATGTGAGCTGCAGCATGCAGCGGAGTCCCCCCGTCTTTTGTGTTAGGCGTGTCTGCGGCGACCCTGGCCTGCTCGCACAGGTATCGCACTACATTGAGCTGGCCAGCGTGTGCTGCAGCATGCAGCGGAGTCCCCCCATCTTGTGAATTAGGCGTGTCAGCACTGACCTTGGCCTGCTCACACAGGTACCGCACAATCCCGAGCTGACCAGCGTGAGCTGCTACAAAAAGTGGAGTCGCCCCGTCTTTTGCGTGAGGCGTGTCTGAGGCGACCCTGGCCTGCTCGCACAGGTATCGCACGACGTCGAGCTGGCCAACAAGAGCTGCAGCATGCAGCGGAGTCCAGCCATCTTTCGAGTGAGGCGTGTCTCCAGCGACCTTGGCCTGTTCGCAAAGGTATCGCACAACCTCGAGCTGGCCCGTGTGAGCTGCAGCGTGCAACGGAGTCCAACCATCAGGCACGTCTGCGGCGGTACCATGCAGCGGAGCAGGGCTAGTTTTTGTATTGAGAATGTCTGCGGCCACCTTTGCCTGCTCGCACAAGTACCGCACGACCTCGAGGTGGCCGTAATGAGCTGCAGCATGCAGCGGAGTCCCCCCGTCTCTTGTGTTAGGCGTGTCTGTAGCAACCTTGGCCCGCTCGCACAAGTATCGCACAATCCCGAGCCGGCCTCCCAGAGCTGCAGCATGCAGCGGAGTCCAGCCACCTTTCCTGGTAGGCGTGATTGCAGCGACCCTGGCCTGCTCACACAGGTATCGCACGACCTCGAGCTGACCCGTGTGAGCTGCAGCGTGCAGCGGAGTCCAACCATCAGGCGTGTCTGCGGCCACCTTGGCCTGCTGGCCAACGTGAACTGCAGCATGCGGCAGCGTCCCTCCACCTCCTGTGTCGGCAGTATCCGCGGCGACTTTGTCTTGGTCGCACAATGATCGACAGACTTCTGGCTGGCGATTCTGAGTTGCAGCATAAACCGGAGTCTCTCCATCTTTTGCGGTGGGGGTGTCTGCAGCGACCTTGGCCTGCTCGCATAGGTATCGGACGACCTCGAGCTGGCCCGTGTGAGCTGCAGCATGCAGCGGGGTGAAGCCATCTGTTGAGTTAGGCATGTCTGCAGTGACTGCGGCCTGCTCGCAAAGGTACCGCACGACCTCGAGGTGGCCGTCGCCAGCTGCAGCGTGCAGCGGCGGCCAACAATGCTTGTGACTCGGCGCGTCGACAGCGGCCCTGGCCTGCTCAAGCAGGTAGCGCACGACCTCGAGCTGGCCATCTTGAGCTGCAGAACACAGCGGAGTCGAACCACCATGCTTTTCGGCAGGCGTGTGTGCATCGTCCGCCGCTCCACCCGGGCAGGCGTGCGTCTCCTCCTCCAAGATGGCAGGCGCCGCGTCCTCCGCCCTCGGTGGCTCTGGCGACCGCACGTCAGCCGCAGTGGACCGGGAGCGCTCGCCTTCAAGGCGGAACAGCTGAGCCCTCAGCTCCGCGACCTCACGCCGATGCTCCTCCGCCAGCTGCTGCAAAGCTCTCCGGTGCTCCACCAGGTAGTCGTCCAGAAGCTGCTCGAACGCACTGTGCTCGAGCAGCTCCCACGCTGTGCCGTCGCACTGGCCCGACGTATGCGGCCAATGAGGCTTTCTAGCACCCGGCGCCGTCACCTTTGGCGCTGCCGCAGCTCCTGGCTCCATCAGAAAAGGTGAGACAAATCCACGAGGTGCGCGTGAGAATGCATTCAGGTCGCTACCGGTTGGCCGATAGATCTGCGTCAGAACAGCGTGAGCAAGAAATCGAGCGATGTGCTTGAGTCAAAACGGCTTGAGCCAAAATGGCTACGGAGGTCGAGAAGCAACTTCTGGAAGGCTTCCGAAAGAACTAGATGAAAGCTACTAGGCCTAGACCCGAATAAAGGGTCATGTAACCATAAAGCCGAGATTTAGCCCGGGATCCTACCTGGGAGTAAGCGGAATGCATACAAGATTAAGCGGGACGATGACAGGAAGAGCCGGTTTTGCCAGCGCTGAATTTCGCCTCCCAGGAGTTGCATCCGAAAGGAAAGTTGGCAATCGCGCCACCCCTCCTGCGTGGACCAGGAGATCAAACCAAAAGCGGTGTCACCAAGGGCGAAGGGCGACTACGCCATACATCCAGCGGGCCCTGACCTCCGACGATAAGATGCCCTCAGTCCGGGCGTGAGCTTCCTCCATCTCGGCCCTCGGGGGCCCCTGTCGTGCTCCGGGGGGCATCAAGAGTGGATCCGGCGGCCGCGACGTCTGGGGCCGGGATACCTGGGATCACGCAGTACCTCATGGCGTGCGCATCGAGCAAAACACATATTTGTGTGACATCAACCGTGGATCCGGCGGCCGCGATTTCTGGGGCCGGGATACCTGGGATCACGCAGTACCTCTGGCGTGCGCATCGAGCAAAGCACAGATTTGGGTGTTTTGCAGCTCGCGGCCCCTTCGCCGGCATCCAGGGCCGTCAAAAACAAGGCTCAGGGTGAAAGGTCAGCCCTGGGGGAACGGGTCGGAACTTCTGGGGACCCCGTGCTGCACAACAGACAATCCAGTAGGAGCTCGAACACAAGAAACCATCTACGAGAAGCCCAATCCTGAACCACCAGGACGTCCATTGATTTTGTGTGGGAACGTCACGCTTTCCACAGCAAAACCATCGAAAACCAAACATCCAGGGCACCCTGGAGGCAAGCAGGGTGTTTCTTGGCACGGGCTTCAACTGTAAGACAGCAGATTCTGGGTCATTGCAGGCCCTACCACGTGCGGGAGGCGCTCTCACAACACCCCAAAGCGGCAACAATAACTGGACGGATGCGTGCTGAGGGGTGAGCCTCGAAGTTACTGCACTGTGGACGTGCAAGCTACGTGGTGCGAGCTGTGTGGTGCAAGCTGTGCGGTGCAAGCTGGTGTGCAAGCCACGTGGTGCAAATCATGTTGGGCAAGCTGTGTGGTACAGTCTGCGTGGGTCGAGGCACATGGGTGCAAGTCACGTGGCGCAGGGCTACGTGGAGCAAGCTGCGCGGTGCAGGCTACGTGGTGCAAGCTGCGTGGTGCAAGCTCTGCGGGGCAAGCTGTGCTGTGCAGTCTGCCTGGCGCGAGCTGTGCGGCGCAAGCCACGGGTGCAAGCCGTGCGGTGCCTGCGATGTTGCAGACGCTGTGGTGTGCACGAGCGCGGGGGCGGGCACCGGGCGACGCCTCGGCATGCCCCCCCTGAAGCACGGGGGCACCCATTCGAGCGCCCACGGGCGGGAGCCCACCCGAAAGCTCGGCACACCCGACCAGATACTTCCTCCTCCTCCTCCTCCTCCTCCCTCCTCCCTCCTCCCTTCCTCCTCCTCCTCCCTCCTCCCTCCTCCCTCCTCCCTCCCTCCCCCTCCTCCCTCCTCCTTTCCTCCTCCCCCTCCTCTCCTCCTCCTCCTCCTCCTCCTCCTCCTCCTCTCTCCTCCTCCTCCTCCTCCTCCTCCTCCTCCTCCTCCTCTTCCTCCAAATCCGAACAAAAAGATAGAGCCCCTGTATGCAAGAACTGCTAGGGGCAAGAACACTAGGCATGAGGGAAAGAGGTCCTGATTGAAACGGGCCCTGGACCTTGGACCTTTCCCGGGGACAGCTTTTCATGTGAGCGTTTTCATCTTGGGCGTTTGGGCATTGAGCGGAAGGGGGGGGGAGAGGGGGGGGTCTGGCTCTGGACCTCTGCTTAATGCGACTGTTTGCAACAGTGCGTCCTATGGGGGTGACCCCACCTGCTCGAAACGGGCGCCCAAAACAGCCAAGATCTACTTACTCCAGGGGGGGGAGGGGGGGTGCGAGGGCCCGCGCCGATCGGCAGAACAACAAATAAGATTAGGTCGGGCATGTCCTCCTACAGGCGGATTTTGGAGGCAAGATGAAAGAGAGCCAAACTATAATCAAACATAGAAAACAGTGGTCGAAAACTCGGGCTCTCACAACGATGTTTCGACTATTGCTGCCTCTATTCCTCCTGTGAGAAGGACATGCTCGACCTAAGCAGAAGAGCGCGACCACCTGCTCAGGGGGCCACATGCGAACCTTCTACCCCTACCCCCCACGATTTCTGAGGGGAAGGGCGGGATTCACTTCGCTCGGGAGCTCCCGAACGAAGTAAACCCCACCCTCCCCCTCAGAAATCGTGGGGTGTAGGGGTAGGGTTCGCATGTGGCACCCTACTGCTTGTCCGGCGCCAGGACGCGACCATGGCCGGAGGATCGATGTGGATCGTTGTCGTCGTCGTCGTCGTCGTCGTCGTCGTCGTCGTCGGAGGAGGAGGAGGAGGAGGAGGAGGAGGAGGAGGAGGAGGAGGAGGAGGAGGTGGGGGAGGGGGGAGGAGGAGGAGGAGGAGGAGGAGGAGGGAGGAGGAGGAGGAGGAGGAGGAGGAGGAGGAGGAGGAGGATGGGGAGGAGGAGGAGGAGGAGGGGGATGGGGGAGGAGGAGGAGGAGAGGAGAAGGGGGAGGAGGAGGATGGGGGAGGAGGAGGAGGGGGAGGAGGAGGAGGAGGGGGATCGGGGAGGGGGGGAACAGGGAGGAGGGAGGAGGAGGAAAAGGCGGAGGAGGACGAGGAGGAAGAAAAGGCTCGTCCAGAGCCGGTGCCCGACGGCCCCACGGCCGAGGCAGGGATCCCCCGGGAGCACGGGGGCGGCGAGAAGCACCGCCTGCAGAAGGGCCCGCTCCTCCAGCATCAGGTCGGGCCTGTCCCCCCACAGGCGGATTTTGGGCGAAATGCAAAAAAGAATCAAGCAGATTTAAAAGGTGCCCAACAGTACTCAAGTAGTCCCCTGACTATTTTTGGAGGGACAGGCCCGACTGCAACTCCAGCACCACCCCCCACCCCCCATGCAGGCAGGGATGGCCGCAGGCCGATCCCATCGGACAGGGGCTCCTCTCAGCAGCGGCCTCCTGGCTGCCGACGCCGGCCCGGCTCCACCGGAGCCGAGGCACCGAAGAAGGAAACAGACGCCATGAGCATATGAAGTGTTGGCGCTCCACGCCATAGATTCTTGGATCCTCGCTGGGCCCCCCCCCACCCGGCGGCGCGCCTCTGGCGCCGCCCCTTGTGCGCTCCGCGCGCCGGGGAGGAGGGTCCATCCAGCGCAGGTCCAGGGAGCCCGCGCGTAGCGCACAAAGCTTGTGCTCATGGCGTTCTCTCCTCTTCTGGAGGCAGGGGCCAGGGGCCAGCATGCAGTTGCGAGGAACCGTCCTCGAGTCTAGGCCTCCTAGGTGGGGTCCGAGTAGATGGGGTCGGAGGATGGCGCCGCGTCGGCGATGCATCGGCGATACATCGCCGATGCGTCGGCGATGCCCCGGCAACATCCGCGATGCATCGGCGCTGTCGGCCTGGAGAAAAGCAGGCTCCGCATCGAGCCGCGTTGCCGATGCATCGGCGATGCGGCGCAATCCTCCGACCCCGTCTACTCGGACCCCACCTGGGAGGCCTAGACTCAAAGAGGGCCCATCGCAATTGCACACTGGCTCCTGGCCCCTGCCTCTAGAAGAGGAAAAAAACGTCATGAGCAGAAACTGCTGGCGCTCAGCGCGGACTCCGTGGACCTGCGCTGGGCCCCCCCTCCCTGGCGCGCGGAGCGCACCAGGGGCGGCGCTGGAGGCGCGCCGCGGGGGCAGGGCCAGCGAGGATCCAAGACACGACGGCGAGGAGCGCCAAAAGTTCTGCTTATGGCGTCTGTTTTCTTCTTCGGTGCCTCAGCTCCGGTGGAAGCCGAGTCGGCAGCGGCAGCGCCCAGGAGCGAGTCTTGAGGGGCCCAGCTGCGGGCCGATCGCGCCGCGGCTCCGTGGTTTCGCCCCCGCGGTGTGCGCAAGTACACCGAGCAGCAACCCGCAGCTGCGGGTAAGAGTGACGGGGGTGGTCCGGTAGAGGGAAACAATTAGTGAACACCCCCCCTGCCCCCCAAACTCAAGGTTGGCACGCGCGGGGGAGACTGCGGTCGAGGTGCAACTCATCAGACCCACCGCCAACTTTGAACATTGGGGGGAGGGGGAGGCGTTCACAGATGAATGTGGCATGAAAGTTCGCTATTTTTGTTCCGAGGCCTGTCGCGGGGCGGTCCCGGGTGGGTCGCGGGCGGGTCGCGGGTGGGTCGCGGGCCGGGTCGCGGGCGGGACGACGATAACAAGCAACAAGCAACACGCAACAAGCAACACGCAACAAGCAACACGCAACAAGCAACAAGCAACAAGCAGCAACAACAGCAGCAGCAACAACAGCAATCAATCAGTTTAAGACGCTTCGCTCTTCCCTGCTCGCGCGCCACTCAATACGTGTATCCCAAACCCTCGATACCCGCCCTCTTCGGCTTCGACCGTGCCCCCCATAAGGGGTGCACCTTCCTTACCTGCAGCGTGCGTATTTCGTGCAGCCCTTGAGGCAAGGAGAGAGAGGACGGATCGAAGGAAGGGACAAGGGGGAGGGAGGAAAATGGAGCGCACGGGAGAAGATAAATCTTGAAGACGTCCACAGCGAGAGCGTGATTCCTGAGTGTCGAGGGTGTGGCGTCTGAATCAACTGCAAGGATGTCCCACGCGAAAGCGTGATTCCTGCATTAAATGATGAGGAAGTTCCTCGCGAGAGCGCGATTTGAAAATAACTTGTAAGGAAATATTAAGCGGAAGCAGTTGTTGTTGTTGTTGTTGTTGTTGTTGTTGTTGTAAACCGGGGGCCAGGGGCACAGTTTGAGCAGGAAGACTTTCCCTCGTTAAAAAACAGCGAGTTCCGGGAACACTTAAATTGAAAGAGCACATCTGTTACGCGAGTGCGTGAGTCCTGCTTGATTCGCCAGGAAGTCTC